ATGATGACAATCTGTAAAATTAGAATGTATATAAGAGTGCGTCTTCATCCTTAGTTGAGGATAACATTCGCTCTCCAGAATTCCTCAATAAATAAAGATCATATATATTCACATTCTTTTTTATCATAAATGCTTAATAAATCATGAATATCCGAATACCATAATCTATCGCCCAATTCATGTGATCCTTCTAACGTCAACCATCGGAGTTAAATTCGGCATGACAATACCAAGCTCTCCCTTACGATAGTTACATTTGGTGCCAGTTGTGTGGAGGGTTAGGCGCAGGAGGAGAACGACAATTACGACTTACATGCCCAGCAAACTACCCTATTAAAATTTCCAGAGGTAGATCATCGGTCTTGTAATTGGGTCAACATTTTATTGACTGCTTCAGTTAGCTTGTCGATAGCCGACTCAGAATTTGTTATGGGAGTGGTAAATCCAATGGGTGCATTCGGGATTGCTTGTGAAGAGTATAAAGCGCTAATCGAGGTTGGAAGGTACGGCAAACTTTGTTTACAAGCGCCTTCGTACGCTTTAGCGCGTTTGTAGGCCGCTTGTAAAGTATTAGGAATGAAGGGAGCAATAGCTAATACAATATCGGGTCTTAACCCATTAAGAAAGAGCTGCGCTTTCGCAGTTTCTGGATAAGGTTGAGCTCCAGTCTCTACTCGACGTAATAACTCTTGCATGGGGTGTGAAAAGCATCAACATCCTCATCAAGTTGTTGTTTTCGGGTGGCCAACTGGGCAAACCATTTACCTTCTAAGGCTGGAGTGCGAAATTGAAGAATAAAATGAGGTCGGAAGCTTGTATTTGGTTGGGCCGGATCGTTTCACGTGTTGATGGGGTTAGGGTAGTGGCCCACCATGTTGCGGCAGCACCCTTTAAATGAGGAATGATTACCAGAATACGGCGGTCATTGTGCACTAAATTGGCAGCAAATGCCTTTTCAACCAGGTCATGGGATCCTGGTCTCCTCCTAAAAAATTGGGATAAGGGACCAAACTCAATTCCTGGTTGGGCGGGTTGTAATTAATTTGCGGAGCAGGAGCGGCTTGCATCTGTTGGATTAACAATCCAATCTGTGCAGCTAGATTATCAACAGGATTTGGCTATTGCGCGGCTGCGGTTGTTGGGGTGGTTGTGGCGGATTAATTGGCTGAACTGGATTTGGTTGTTGCGGTGGTGGAGCCGGATTGCCTACAACAGGTCGTTGAGGCGGATTAACTGGGGTGGATTAACCAGGTTCGGAGGGTTACGCTGAGCCATAAGATAAGTTTTATAATTTCGAATTTGACTATATAAGAACGTTAACTTTTAACTAATGCGTTTGTTTGATTTAAGGTGTGCTGTTTTTATTCTTTCCACACAACTGGCACCAAATGTAACCATCGTAAGGGAGAGCTTGGTATTGTCATGCCGAGTTTAACTCCGATGGTTGACGTTAGAAGGGTCACATGATGGAGCAATAAATTATGGTATTCGGATATTCATGATTTATTAGGCATTTATGATAAAAAAGAATGTGAATATATGTGACCTTTATTTATTGAGGAATTTTAGGAGAGCGAATGTTCCCCTCAACTAAGGATGAAGACGCACTCTTACATACATTCTAATTTTACAGATTGTCATCGTGGGGATCTCAACGCTTACATTTAGATTCCATATTTGCCCAAGGCGCAATTATCACAAGTTTATGCAAGCGCGTATGAGCGTAAACGCTCTGGCATGAAATAAGCTACCAAGAATGCATAATAATGCCTAATACTACTAGGGTAAGATTAACATGACTATGATGGTACAATTATGGAAGGTGAGTAACGACTTAAAGAATTAGACAAATACGGAAGTGAGAAGACACAGGAAAAATTAATCGTTACAGTATATATTATCTCAAAACTGACTAATTGATCAGTGCAAGATGTCCTAAGTAAAAATGCTTTACGCCCCTAAAAAACCTTCACAAACTTTAATCCCTAACTCTAAATACTAACATTAACATGAAAATTTTGTGCTGAAAATTTTTATATTCAAAACTTAGAGAAATCCAAAAACGTATATAATAGGTGCAAACCCACCAAGGTGCGTTTTATAATAAATGTAAATTAATGTTAAATTTAAACCAAAATTGTCTCCATTTACACGGAATAAAAAAAAATTAATTTTGATGTACCCACAAGTTTTTAAAATAACCTCTCTACTTAAAATTTTTCATATCATTCGTATCATTTACCGCATTTACAAATAAATAGCAATGATGTCTTGTAATTTTATTTTTACATGTAATATGAAATTAAACCGTCGAATTAGATTGAGGCGCTTGAGAGCACCCTAAATCTACCGTGATATTTTTTTTGAATGTAATCTTATTAAAAAAAAAATTCAATTTTCAAATAAAATTCTTACCAGTATGCATTCAAATAAGCACTAAAATGAATCAGAATGGTAAAGGAATTTAGTCATTTAAAAAGGCCATAGTTTATAAAGAAATTTAAAAATTATCTTTCTTTTAGCTGCACGAAAGAGCCTAAATTTAATAGTAAAAATAATAAAGATTTTTATCTTAATTTTGCGCTCAAAAGATTCATTTATCGAGAGGCAATTTCGAAAATTATATAACAGTACAGTTTGTGTGACATCCTCTGACCGGTAGCAGCAGAAGCTGAGTTACTATTACTGATCGTGTTGTGGCTTGTACGCCACCAACCCGGCACACATTGAAGAATTGCATATTTTTGTTGGGGTAGTTACCTTCTAAAATTTTAAATGTCTGCATCATTAGCCAATACTTAATTTGAACAGTTATGTGTCTTAAAAAATCCTATAATTATATAAAAAAATATATATAAAAATTAATTGATGACATTTCGATAACGATTCCTAGGTGCAGTCCTAAATCTCGGTGTTTAATTGATGACTTGGGTTTTTCATTCGAACTTACGAAGTTTTCAGACAAGCGTGATGCTTTATTTGTGAAATTCCATTCAATCTTCTTTTTTCTTTTACGTTTAATCGTGGTTGGGATTTCCTATTTCGAAACGTGATCCTCGTCATTACTTTCGAGATCCATCGGTACCCCCTCTTCTTCAATCTATAGAAAAATATTAGCAAAAACGCTAAATGAAAACGAACTCAATCCTCACAGACAAAGCCTAGATATTTCAAAACGAATCATCCCTCCCTCCCCTCCAGCGACGTGGGTAGTGTCCAGTACCTATCACGGGTTGCATGCCCGTTCATGATTTCGTACTCACCATATTCGACTCTAAGATTTTGTCAGACGTTCTTTCATGAAATTCCTCAAATAATTTCCCCACATCTCCCATATCTCGCCATCATACGCAAGGAACAGTATTTTCTTGTAGAAAGGAAAATTGCAATAATTTGGTTTCAAAATCTAGAGAATATAAATTTTTAGCAACGAATATAGAAACCGATAACAAAGATCTCACTACGATAAGAAATATCATGGTTTTCTAGATAACGAAATAATTTGATCAAGCCTGTTTTATCTCGAGCTTGAACGTTTTCGAACTGATATGTATAATCAATGTTTTCAATATCAAGATTTGATTTCATTTTCACACACAAAATAATAAAAATCCACAAGCTTTCTTTATAATGGAAATAAGTGACACAAACATTCATTAAAACTTCGTACATTTTAGATAACCTAAAAACGCTGTGGATTACTCTTTTGGGTATAACAACTACGCGCATATTTCTTGTTCCATACCAAAAATCGAAAACAAAACGTCGATCAAAACCCACATTAAAAACAAGGAAATCAATACGTATTAATTCATTGAATTACTTTTTTAAAAAAATTATTTTACAATACCAGATCATTCCGCTAGTACATGTTATGATTATAATCCCACACCATTTTTTATTATAATAAAATGTGGGATTATAATCATAATAACATGTGATCTGGTATTGTAAAAATTTTTTTATACGTTGCACTAGGGTAATCAAAACATAGTTAGGGTCATTAAGTTCGGATTTTTTAAAGGGCCATTTCACGTATAAATTTATATATGAATTTGTACTAATTTAGGTACATTTTTTCTACACAACTAACAGACAAAATTGTACCAAATTTTTTTTTAAACTGTAGTTCTAGACTAGCTCTACACTGTAACAGAACCGGTTTTTAAATAGGGATGTTAAGTCGTTCAAATGAACCGGGTCCGAACCTGGTTCAGACTACTCTTTTTAGCCGTTCATTCAAAGAAAAATTAACGATAAATTCTTAAACTAGTTTTATAATCTAGTTTATAAACCTGATTTATAAACACAGTTTATAAACTTAGCTTATAAAACTGGTTTGAAAACTCAGTTTATATGAACCCGGTGTACAATAAAGAAATTAAATATAATCTTTGTACGAATGTACGTACATACGTATTATGCATGCTTAGAAGACATTTTGTCTATTCGAGCATCATTTTCACTTATCTGCTCTGGGCCTTCTGGGTACCTTACGCATATCTCTTAAAATAAAAATCAGAACAATCATTTCTTTGTACTGTATTCTATTATTAGGAAACAAACCGATGATTATCTTTTTTTTTTTTTTTTAATATTGAGGTGACCACTTAGGCCCCTGGCACTTTATTAGTTCAAACGGGTGGGCCGTCC